TTGACACAGAAGAGGTTTATTGATGGAACCAGCAGGAGACAGAGCAAAGAGCCTTCAGAACACAACGCAGGACCGCAGGAACACCACCTCTGGGAGGAGAGAGGCGGACCAGAGGACCACACAGAGTGAGTCTCCACCTGCAGCCTCATTCCAAGAAAGGTTCAACCAAGCTGACTTTTTGGAGGGAAAAAGGCAATTAAAACCAGCACAATTAAGAAAAAGAGAGTATAGATACATATACAGAATGCGTGCGTGCTAATCTGCTTTGAAAGAAAGTGAAAGTGAAGTTGCTCAGTCGTGTCCAACTCTTTGTGACCCCATGGACTGTAGCCCACCAGGCTCCTTGGTCCATGGGGTTCTCCAGGCAAAAGTACTGGCGTGGGTTGCCATTGCCCTCCTCCAGGGGATCTTCCCGACCCAAGGACTGAACCCACGTCTCTAACGTCTCCTGCATTGGTAGGCAGGTTCTTTACCACTAGCACCACCTGGGAAGCCCCAGGTACAGAATAAGATAATACAAATAGAGAAACATGAACAGAGAAAATGGAAAGAACCACAAAAGAATGCTTTGATCAACTTTATGCCAATACATCTGTAGACTTGGATGAAACAGATTCTAAGAAACTGTAAATGTGAAGACTTCACCCCAGAAGAGACAGAAAAGAGAAAATGACCCAACTCCCATAGAAAATGACATCCTTAAATAGATAGTTCTACCTCATGCCAAAACTGCACCAAGCTGTGCGGTTTCACATGGGAATTCTAACACAATTTTAGGGAACAGATTATTCCAATATCATTTAAACTGTTCCAGGGCATGCAAAAAAGTAGAAAAGTCTCAGAAAAAAAACTTTAGGAAAAGCTAATGTAACACTGGTACCAAATTCAATAAAGATAGAAGAAAATTTTGAAAACCATTGACCATGCAAGAATCTGAAATCAAATATTACTGAACACTACAAATCCTAACTTAGGGACAAAAACCCTCAGTGACATACTGAATCAAATTGAGAAATATATAAAATGATTATACAGTATGACCGCATGGCATTTATGCCAGGAATGCAGAGTTGGTTTGACATGTGAAAATCGATCAACATAACACACAATGTTGTTAGAATAAAAGATAAAACCACAAATTCACCTCAATAGATGTGGAGAAAGCATTCAACAAAACATTTTCATAATGAAAACACTCAACAAACTAGGAATGGAACTTCTTCAACATGTTCAGAGCATCTGTGAAAAACACATCTAACATCAACTTAATCTTGAGATCAGAAAAAAGACAAAGACTTTGACTCAACATTGTACTGGAGGTTTTAGCCAGAGTGATAAGGCAAGAAAAAGAAATAAAACGATTTCAGGTAAACAGAGAAAGGACTCAGTCATACATAGACATATATCCATCCTCCCCCAAACCCCCATCCCATCCAGGCGGCCACATAACACGGAGCAGAGTCCTCTGTGCTATGCAGTAGGTCCTTGTTGGCGATCCAGTTTAAATATAGCAGTGTGTACGTGTCCATCCCTAATTCCCTAACTATCCCCTCCCCCCAGGGGATGGATCAATTTTTTAAAAAATGGACAATGATATATACATAATGGAATATTATTCAACCATAAAAGGAATGAAATGTTGCCCTTTGCAGCAATGTGGATTGACTTGGAGGGCTAAGTGAAGAAAGTCAGACAGAGAAGGACAAGTACTGTATGATATTGCTCATATGTGGATCTAAAACATACAAGAAACTGGCGAATATAACAAAAAGGAAACAGACACAGAGGTATAGAGAACGAACTAGTGGTTACCAGTGGGAAGAGGGAAAGGGACAAGATAGGCATAGAGGATTAAGAGATACACGCGGCTGTGTCTAAAATAAATAAGCTACAAGGATATACTGTATCACACAGGGAACGTAGCCAATATCTTATAATAAATATAAATAAAGCATAACCTTTAAAAATTGTGAATCACTATGTTGTACACCTGAAACATATGTACCTCAATTATTCCTCAATTAAAAAAAAAAGACAATACCAAATTTTTCGGAATCTTTGGCTTCTTTTTCCGACCCAACCCCAGGCATGCCCCACTCTCTCTCTCTCTCTCTCTCTCTCTCACACACACACACACACACACACACACATTTCCCAGCGATACCCCAGCAACCATCAGCCTGACACCTACAGCTCAAGGAGGCGGAGCTGGTGGCCTCCCCAGCTGCAAATGAGGCTCCACAGAGAAGACACAGACTCTCCCTGTCCAGCAGCCTTCAAACTCCCAGGGGGGAGCGGAGAGTTTAGAGTTTACGTTCCTGAAAAGTCAGCCCATGCGTTTTCAGGCCCCGCTGCCCCAGGATCAACTTTTGGAAGCTCTGCACAACCATCTTCCCAGCTTTGAGATCTCCAAGTTCCCTCAAATGCCATAAAACTCAATGTAAACAGCTTTGCAACTCTAACCACAAGTGTGTCCCGGTCACCCCGAGAGGTTGCTAGGATATTATCTCTGGCGGGAAGTCTCTCCGCCAAGTCTGAAGACCAACAGCATGGTTTCACAGCACAGAAAGTGGACGGATCCGCACGGAACAAACATCCTGTCCTCCAGCCAGCCCTCCCGGGGTGCCTGGCCCTTCTGGGTGCCCACAGGACGATGCAGCAGGGATCGGCTTCCCTGAATACCAGGGTGGGCTTGGCTGTGGGTCCCTGGGGGAAAGGCCCCCAAGCTGTATACCTTGGACGACCCCCTCCCAGCCCCTCCACCCAAGCAGCAAGCATGGGTCACTCAGTCCTGGGAGAGACTGCGGGGTGGCCGTGGTCAGGGTGCTGGGCAGACCCCAAGGCTTCTGAGCGCAGCCATATCGGGCTGTTTCTGGCCACAGTGCAAGAATTGGGGTTGTCCTCCCCGCGTCATAGGGCAGCGATCCCAAGATTTGCCATTTCTCACATTGAAAGCCCATGTTGATGACCTATCTCCATCAGCGTTCTTCCCCCAGAGACAGAAGAGGAAAAGGGCAAGATGAACGTGTGCTGGGGAGCAAGGGTGCCCCCTGGGAAGTAGGGGGACAAGGGTGCCTGGCAGGGCTGTCTGAGCCCGCAGGAGGGGGCCTTTTTCCTCTTCCGTCTTCTCAGCTCAGACACGTGGGTATTAACCCATCCTGCAGTGACTCCCCAGGGCCTTTGCGTATGCTATGCCCTCTGCCCTGGTCATCCTGGCCCACTCCAAAGGCACGTCCCGGGGCAGTCCAGGTCGGGAGGCCGCCCTCTGAGACCCCCAGGGCACCAGGGACCATGTGAGGCTGTCTGTGTGCAGGGCTTGGCTCTGTCCCCAGCGGCAGGAGCCTTTCCTGCCTGGGTTTCAGTTCTTACTCTGCCTTCTGTGGAGGCAGTCTGAATGCGGGTTGGGAAAGAATTTCCAGACAGAGAGCATTTCAGAAGGGAGTGAGTTTATTAAGAACGAAGAGCAGAGATAAAGTGGCCACTGCGAGCACAGCAGGCTGACCTCCTGAGTCACCAAGGGAAGCTGACAGTTTTCGTGGATTAGCAGCCAGTTTGTATAGCCTCAGGACAGAGAAAATTCCTGCGGAAGGGTGGTGTTAGGTGATTGGTTGGGGCGCTCTAGCGTGTTTACTGGAGTAGGCATCTTTGTCTAATTAGGAGTCGGGAAGCTTGTTAGTGATGATCAGGGGGGCTTTTGGCAGTGGTTACAAAGAGGCTCAGCCAGCTTCGGAGGTGAGCTACATTCTGTGGCCTTGGTGACACTTCCCAAAACTGGGGCCCCGTGCGCACAGCAAACCTTTATTAAAGACGGCCGGTGCTCCCAGCCCCAGAGGCACTACAGTGAGTGCAGCGACCACCGGGGCCCAGGTCCACGGCCCAGTGAGGCCGGGTGGAGCTTTCCTCAGGGGCGGGTCCTCACATCTGGGGCCAGAACGGCCTGTGTTGTGGGCTCTGTCCTGTGTCCTGAAGGAAGGAGAGCGGCACCATAAAACTCAATGTAAACAGCTTTGCAACTCTAACCACAAGTGTGTCCCGGTCACCCCGAGAGGTTGCTAGGATATTATCTCTGGCGGGAAGTCTCTCCGCCAAGTCTGAAGACCAACAGCATGGTTTCACAGCACAGAAAGTGGACGGATCCGCACGGAACAAACATCCTGTCCTCCAGCCAGCCCTCCCGGGGTGCCTGGCCCTTCTGGGTGCCCACAGGACGATGCAGCAGGGATCGGCTTCCCTGAATACCAGGGTGGGCTTGGCTGTGGGTCCCTGGGGGAAAGGCCCCCAAGCTGTATACCTTGGACGACCCCCTCCCAGCCCCTCCACCCAAGCAGCAAGCATGGGTCACTCAGTCCTGGGAGAGACTGCGGGGTGGCCGTGGTCAGGGTGCTGGGCAGACCCCAAGGCTTCTGAGCGCAGCCATATCGGGCTGTTTCTGGCCACAGTGCAAGAATTGGGGTTGTCCTCCCCGCGTCATAGGGCAGCGATCCCAAGATTTGCCATTTCTCACATTGAAAGCCCATGTTGATGACCTATCTCCATCAGCGTTCTTCCCCCAGAGACAGAAGAGGAAAAGGGCAAGATGAACGTGTGCTGGGGAGCAAGGGTGCCCCCTGGGAAGTAGGGGGACAAGGGTGCCTGGCAGGGCTGTCTGAGCCCGCAGGAGGGGGCCTTTTTCCTCTTCCGTCTTCTCAGCTCAGACACGTGGGTATTAACCCATCCTGCAGTGACTCCCCAGGGCCTTTGCGTATGCTATGCCCTCTGCCCTGGTCATCCTGGCCCACTCCAAAGGCACGTCCCGGGGCAGTCCAGGTCGGGAGGCCGCCCTCTGAGACCCCCAGGGCACCAGGGACCATGTGAGGCTGTCTGTGTGCAGGGCTTGGCTCTGTCCCCAGCGGCAGGAGCCTTTCCTGCCTGGGTTTCAGTTCTTACTCTGCCTTCTGTGGAGGCAGTCTGAATGCGGGTTGGGAAAGAATTTCCAGACAGAGAGCATTTCAGAAGGGAGTGAGTTTATTAAGAACGAAGAGCAGAGATAAAGTGGCCACTGCGAGCACAGCAGGCTGACCTCCTGAGTCACCAAGGGAAGCTGACAGTTTTCGTGGATTAGCAGCCAGTTTGTATAGCCTCAGGACAGAGAAAATTCCTGCGGAAGGGTGGTGTTAGGTGATTGGTTGGGGCGCTCTAGCGTGTTTACTGGAGTAGGCATCTTTGTCTAATTAGGAGTCGGGAAGCTTGTTAGTGATGATCAGGGGGGCTTTTGGCAGTGGTTACAAAGAGGCTCAGCCAGCTTCGGAGGTGAGCTACATTCTGTGGCCTTGGTGACACTTCCCAAAACTGGGGCCCCGTGCGCACAGCAAACCTTTATTAAAGACGGCCGGTGCTCCCAGCCCCAGAGGCACTACAGTGAGTGCAGCGACCACCGGGGCCCAGGTCCACGGCCCAGTGAGGCCGGGTGGAGCTTTCCTCAGGGGCGGGTCCTCACATCTGGGGCCAGAACGGCCTGTGTTGTGGGCTCTGTCCTGTGTCCTGAAGGAAGGAGAGCGGTGCCTGTGGCCTTGCCCCCCAGACCCCAGTAGCACCCCCACTCCCAGTAAAATGCCTCTAAACATGGCCAAGTGTCGCTGGGGGATAAAATCACCAGGCTCCCCACCTCACCCCCAGCCCAATGAGAACCGCAGCCCCTGGGTGGCCGACCTGCCGCCGCCCCCGGGAGGCCCACAGGGAAGGGGAAGGGAGAGAACAAGGGTCCGTCCTGAGGTCAAGCTCCCCTCCCCACGCCGGGCTGCCCACGTGTTACCGTCCACTCTGCTCAACAAGGCAGAATGAGCCCAAAGGCGGGTGGGGTGGGGCGGGGCCAGGGGCGAATCCCGCCCTTGACCCCACCCACCTGTGACCTTGGGCCTCCCTCTGCGAGCCTGTGAAGGATCAACTCAGACAGGATCATCCGGGAAATAAGAGACCTTTAGTGCACAAAGGCTCACGAAAGCCAGCTGCAGGAGGACGGGCTCGGGAAACAAAGGCCCAGCGGGTGCCAGGCTCCCTGGCCTACACAGAGGGCAGTGCCAGTGGGCATGGGATAGAACAGTGATTTATCCCAGGTCCAGATCCACACAGGCAGAGACCCAGGGGAAACCAGCAGGGCAAAGGTCAGGGCGATGAGGAGTGGGAGGCCAGCGGCTGGGCCCAGGCGGTCTTACACTGGAGACCAGAGCTCCGGAGTGACCTGCCATGACCTGGTTTACCTTAGAAAGGACCGTGACCTCCAGACGCCGCAGGTGTGTGCCTTCCTGCCCTCTGCTCGCACACCGCCCTGGGGGACATCACCTCTCGTCTGGACAATTGGACAGCCTCCCTGGCTTCCTGCCTGCTCTCCCCACCTCTACTGGACACCCCCACCCCCCCAGTCTCTGCTCCAGCCGAAAAGCAACCCAGCCACACCCCGTGCCGAAGCCCTGGGTGGCGTGTCTCCCATTCTCCCAGGCAGCCTTCGGATCTCAGCTCGAGCAGGACGGTCTCTGGGAGGTGTTCCTTAGCCTCCCTGGCAAGGACCAGTGCCGTGTGGCACAGCCTCCTGACTCCGGGGGCCTTGCCATCGCCGCAAGTCCCAGACAATGATGTTCACTGGTCTCTGTGCTTTTTCGGATCAACATCCATCTCCCCTATCAGACCTGAATCCCCAAAAGGCCAAAGCTGCGGTGCTTGGGCACATGCGTAGCTCCTAAAGGATGGCTCAGATGGTAAAAAAAAAAAAATCTGCCCGCAATGCGGGAGACCTTTGTTCCATCCCTGAGTCAGGAAGACCCCCTAGAGGAGGGCACAGCACCCCACTCCAGTGTTCTTGCCTGGAGAACCCCATGGACAGGGGAGCCTGGCGGGCTGCAGTCCACGGGGTCACAAAGAGTCAGACACGACTGAGGGCTTTTCACTAAGAGATAAATGAGTGAATGAAATTGACACAGACGAAGGGCGGTCTCTATTCTAGAGGCAGAGAGACAGATTCCAGACTGCGGTGACTATCGAGGCACTGCCCAGCCGGGCCACTGACCGTCCCCAACCCCCAGCAGCTGCTATTCTGGAGGGTGAAGCCAGACCTGCCAGTAACACCTGGTGACCTCCAAAGGCTGGCCCTGGCAGACGGGGACCAGTGGGTGGGCCAGCAAGGTCCAGGGGTGGTGAAGACACCCAGGACCTGCCCCAGAGAAGGGCAGGCCACTGCTGGCCACCAGGACACCAGGTGAGTCCGGTCACTGCTCAGACCCAGGGGATGTGTGTGAGGCTGGTCTTGCAGGCTGGATGCAGGTGCTTGAAAGGATCCCAAGGAGTGGAACTTTGCGAGCAGAGTTCCTAAGGAGAGCAGGGTCCGGAGAAGCCCAAGAGGACCATGGACATGGCCGCGGGGAGTGGACAGTCCCACTGGGCACATGATGGATGCAGAGGACAGGAGGTTGCTCGGCCCCCACACCCCTCCCCCCCCCTCGCCCCCCCAGGGAACCAGGCGGCAGGGAGGCGGGAGTCCGTATCAGTGCGTCGGCCGTTTCCCACGCTGCCTCCTGCGAGGAGAGACCAGGTCCCCCGGGGAGGCTATTACAGGGACTGACCCAGGCCAGACCCGGAAGCCAGCACTGGAGTCTCTCCAGGGCCGGCCCCGACGAGCCGAAGGCTCCCCCTGAGAGGCTATAGGCCGCCGTGGGCCCTAGGCTGGTGGGGAGGGTGGGGGACCCTGCCCTGGGTGGGCCCACCGGGGCTCCTGGACCCTGGACAGCCCTTCCTGATTTCTCACCTTTGGGCTTGTCACTAAAAAAACCTGAGACCTTCTTTCCCCACCACCCAGACCCCACCATTTTAAGGTGGATCCAGGCAAGAGGCCTTCTGGATTCTCCAGCATCAGCAAAGGGGTCGGTGACCTCGTGGAAACCTGCTGTTCTTCTCGCATGAGCGGGGGCAGATTACAATCCATCTTGGTAGAAAGGGATCTAATCTTGCCCTGTTGTGCACTCTTGGTACACTTGGAATGTGTCCACCGCCTGACGAGGAAGCGTCTTCCTGAGAATCTCTGACTCCCTGTTGACACAGTTGCCAGCACCTGGGGAGAAAACACAGTCCCTCATTTGAATTCGCCTCGGGGGCCTGACGTGGGTGGACCAGGCGGGGCCTGGGGTGAAAGTGCTGCCACGGGGACCCTAGGTCCCCGCGTGGCTGGACAGGGCTTAAGCGGCTCCCAACCCAGGTGGGAGGAGAAGCTGGAACTCGGGGGAAACTGAGGCAGAATGGGCCGGCACAGGCTGAGGAGTCGCGGTAAAGGCTGCCCTTCTCCGTGGCTGGGGCAGCCGAAGTTCTGCTTGTGCTAATTCAAGGCAGCGCGGGGCATGCCCTCCCCCCCCCCACTACAGCCAGGGCTCTAGGTCTGGCCTCCCCAGTCACAGGGGCCTGAAGCTGGGAGAAGACAGAGGCCCCCAGACAGGCGGTCTCTAGCCCTTTTGGCTCCAGGACCGGGTTTTGTGGAAGACAATTTTTCAGGGGATGGTTCTGAGATGGTTCAAGTGCATTACATTTGTTTTGTTGTTTAGTCACTGAATCTGACTCTTTTGAGACTCCATGGACTGGAGCCCATGGGCTCCTCCATCTTACATTTATTTACTTTATTTACATTATATTTATTTTATTTATACTCTCATTACATCAGCTCCACCACACACCATCAGGCATTAGATCCCAGAGGCTGAGGACCTGTGCCCCAGACCATGGAGGAAGCCACTCTTAAGACCCCCGCCTGCTCCTCTGGGGATGTCCTGCTCTGGAGCCAAGCAGCAGGACCCCCCGGGGCACAATGAAGGGCCTTCCTCGGCACCCACCCACACCCTCTCCTAGGCCACCTCCTCCCGCCCGCTTCAGGCTTCACCTCTGGTCCGGGATCAGCCTGGCCGTACCCACTGGCTTTCAGGCCTCACTTGGCAGGAGCTGAGTAGCCGATGAAACCTCAACCCCCCACAGCTTAGATAGCTAAGACTCCCAGCGAGGCTGGCTCTTGCCCTAAAGAACCCGAAGTACAAAGCAACTCAGCAAACGTGAGCCACAGGAAGACAATTCCAAGTCAGAATCTGCGGAGGTCATAGGATTGGGGCACGCTTGTGGTGTTCACCACTTCTTGGAGGCTGGTCCCTGGGCTGCAGGCCTCTGGCCTCAAGGGGCCTCAATCAGGAAGGACTCATTTCCTTGTGGAAGCTGATCACAGATAGAAGAGAGGGCAGGTGCTTAGCAGCTACTTAGTGAATAGGAGGAAAGGCGGTGAGACAGGCAGGAGGAGATGAGGAAGGGAGAAAGCAGGGAGGAACAGAGGCTGGGCTGCAGATGGATAGCTAAATGGATGGAAGGAATGATGGAAGGAGGCAGGGAGGGAGGAAGAGTGATGGATGGATGGATATGGGGCGGATGGATGGATGATGGATAGGTGGATGGATGGATATGTAGGTGGGTGGATGATGGATGGTTGGATATGTAGGCATATGGATGGACGATGGATGGATGGATGGATGGATGGATGGATGGATATGTGGATGGATGGATGGATGCATATGTGGGTGTTTGGATAGATGAGTGGGTAAGTGAATCTCCAGAGAGGGGAACCCCAATACTATAGAAAGATGTTTCACGACAATGATGAACAAAAGATCAATCAAAGTTGCCTTCCGGTGGCAAGCCTGTGTGTGGTTTGATCTTCCCCTCTGAGCTCTTCCATGTGTAACAAGAAGGGACCCCAGGAGGAGGATGAGGATCAGCACAGATGCTCACCGCCGGGCTGGGCCAGAGGCCTTTATCTTTGCTACAAGGGGGAGAAGAGGCTCCAGGTGGGAGGTGGGCAGATGAGGGGGAGCTTGGCTCACGGCCCCGACATGGGCAGCTCGACGAGAGGGTCTGGCAGAGAAAAGACGTGTCTCACAGGATGTTGGAGGCTGTCTGCTCTGGGTGAGTGAGGCCCTGCCCTCATGACCTCCCGTAACCCTAGTCTCGTCCCAGAGGCCTCAGCAGCATCCCACTGGGGATCAGGCTCCAACATGTGAATTTGAGGGGACACGGGGGTGTCTCTCCTCTGTTCCCTGTTGAAATTGTCCAAATAGCCTTGAAATAAAACCAAGTTCAGAGTTCTCCTGGCCTTCCCCAGAAGCCCCGTGCCCGTGTCAAATGCCCTCTATGTGCTGCCCGAGGGCCTGCAGCTCAGGGCATCGTCCACAGTGCGGGCATTGTAGGTCTGCACGTCTCTTGGCTCTGACGGGTGGATGGGCCACCTTCACCTGACCTGTATAAAGCTGCTGCATGGCCTGAGGCCCCCACCGCCTCACCCCGCAGCTGGACGAGAGGACACACATCCAGACTCTAGCATTTCCATGGTCTACGATTACAAAAAGAGATGAAACCCCAAGGTGGTTTGTGGTCCCCACCAGGCATGTTGAAAGTTCTGGAACATTCCAGAACATTCCCGAAACTCTACTTCCTGACGTTCCAAGCATCACAATTCATGGAAATATCCTCAGGCTTCAGCTCAATAAGGATGAGCCCAGCTGGCCCAGGTGTTCTCACCCCATCCCACCATCCTCCCTAAGCTGACCCCAGGCACCTGTACTTTCAAAATCCCTCCAGATGACTCTGAGTCACAGCTTGGCTAATTCCCAAGTGAGGCCGCAGTTTCTCCTGACTGTCAGGCCAGCCTCCTCCTCACGTGGTGGGCTATGTATCACGGCTGAGCGGGGAATTCCAAGTCGACAGATGAAGTCTCAGCAAGCACCTCTCCTTACCGACCTCCAGACAGTCGGGGTGAAAAGGCATCCAGATTTTGCTCCCTTCCCCTCTGCGAACAAATGGAGAGGAGTGCCCGCCCCCAGCCCTGCCCTGGCCTGTCCCGTTCCCAGCCCCGGGCTCTCTCTGCACATCTGAGCCCCGCCATCAGAGCATGAGACTGATACGAGTCCATGCCTGGGCCTGGCCATCGAGGGGCCCCTGAGTCACCGGTGTGCTTGGAGAACAAGGGCCCGAACCTCCAGGGATGGAGACACGGGGTGGACTGGGAGTGGGGCGGGGGCACTGGCGGCTGGACGGCTCTCTGGCAGCTACATGGCTGAGTCACGGTGGGGAGAGTCGGGCGGGCTGGGCTGACCGCAGGATGAGGAGTGNGCTGAGTCACGGTGGGGAGAGTCGGGCGGGCTGGGCTGACCGCAGGATGAGGAGTGGCTGTGATAAGGGACAGATTTCAAACAGAGAAAGCGCTGTCTCATACCTGCACCGCCCGGCCACATGTCCAGAGGCTGAGACCCTCCCATGGAGAGAGAGGACACAGCCCACGCGGAGGGGGATCCGAGCACATTTAGTGAAGGAAACTGTTGTAGGTGTAAACTGAAAAGAGAGGCCAGCGGGGCTCGGGGAGCTGCCCAAGGCCCCCGGGGCGGGCAGCAGTGGGTGGGGAGCCCGTACGCCCGGACCGAAGAGCTCGGGGAGGCGCTGGTAGAACCAGATGCAGCTACAGCAGCGAGATAGGCCACTTGGGGAGAGGAACTCGGCCGCGGCCAACAAGGGGCCGGGACTAATTCCTCAGCCCGTCTCCCTGGCTTCCGTCAGCCTCTCCCAGGCCCCGACTTGACCAGAGGCAAGGATGGGGCGGGGGGGCCACGTGCCACCCCTGCAGGTCAGCCGCCCGGACCCGGGGCTGAGAAGGCTGCGGAGAGGCACTGCGGGACCCTGGAGAGTCTGACCCATGCCCACCTGGCATTCAGGACGGAGCCGCCTGCCCTCAGGAGGGTGCTGGTCTCTGGGACCTGCCAAGTCCTCTGGTGGAGGAGTAGGGGCCCTGCTCCGTGAGACACAGGATGCTGGGATCCCCGCACAGGACCCAGTCCCGTGGGTGAATACAAGCCAGGGCCATCGGGCAATCCGCCATCAGGGCTCTCAGGCCGGTCAGACTTGTTACACGGCAGCAGCCCCCACGGCTGGGGGTCAGGCACCCCACCGGGGACTCAGACCACCCTCTCCTGGAGAGGGACCACATGTCTACAGAGGACAGGCAGGCCAGGAAAGCCAGACGCTGGGGGCTGGCATTCTAGAGAAGGGAGGGATTTCCCCTCCAAGTGTGAGGCGAGGCCAGTCCTTGCCTTGACTGTGAATGGACTCCAGGCTGGCAGCTGCAGAGCTGGGAGGTTAGGGGAGGCACCCACCGTGCCCCCAGGAGAGCTGGTGGAGGCCGGGTGTCGGACTGCGGTTCAGCGCAGTGAGGCAGGTGAGTGACTGAGGCGTCTCGTAGGGCTCTTTGGAAGGTCAGGAGCCCTGGAGGGGGCCGGCCGAGCTCCACCGGGAGAGGGCTGTTTGCTCCAGCAGGAAATTCCATCTCTGTTTCTGTGCTAAACTGTTTGGGAGTTGCCAGGCCAGGCCCATACACGTGTCCCCTGAGAGGATGTGACCAGCACCCACCTAGATACCAAAACTTCCTTTGTAGTTTCCAGTTCTTTGTCTCATCATCCCCCATCTTAGCTAGAAGCCTAGAATCTTCCTCTTGAATCCTCCTCCACCCATGTCAAAGTCCAAGAACCTCACGAGCCCAAAGTATTGCGTCTTACTCCACACACAGAGCCCATGTTACACCCAAATTGCCAATGACTACAGCCATGAAATTAAGAGATGCTTGCTCACTGGAAGGAAAGCTTTGATAAACCTAAACAGTATATTAAAATGCAGAAACATCACTTTGCCAACCAAAATCAGTATATCAAACCTATGGTTTTTCTAGTAGTCATGTACAGATGTGAGAGTCGGACCATAAAGAAGGCTGAGCATTGAAAAATTGATGCTTTCAAATCGTGGTGCTGGAGAAGACTCTTGAGAGTCCCTTGGACAGCAAGGTGACCAAACCAGCAAATCCTAAAGGAAAACAACCCTGAATATTCATTGCAAGGACTGATGCTGAAGCCAAAACACTAATACTTTGGCCACTTGCTATGAAGAAGCAACCCATTGGGAAAGACCCTGATGCTGGGAAAGGTTGAAGACAGAAGGAGAAGGGGGTGGCAGAGGATGAGGTGAGTAGATAGCGTCACTAACTCAGTGGACATGAATTTGAGCAAACTCTGGGAGACAGCGAAGGGCAGAGGAGCCTGGCGTGCTGCAGTCCGCGGGTTCGCGGAGCCGGACACGACTGAGCGACTGACCGGCAGCCTCTCTTTCTGCCACATGGTGTCGCTGTGGAGCGCAGTCCCAGAGCATCCCTGCAGCTCGCCTGGGCTGGGGTCCCCCTGCTCAGGTCCTGGCCGGTCCCACCCTCAGGAGCCCATGGAGTCAAGGGCTTGTCACTTCCCCTCCCCAGCAGGAGCCCCACAGTGGCAGCACCAGCTCCCTTAACCTTCAGGTCAGCTGGGGAGAATGCAGATGGGGGTCCCTTTGACACCTGGGGGGCAGTCCTTGGTCTCTCCCTTGCCAGTGACCTCGGTAGGAACCAACCCCATCCACCTGCACGCATCCCCAAGGGGGCGGGGCTTCCATTTCTCCCCCAGGAGGCTCCTGCTCCCTGGACATGTCTGCCCACCTCCCCTTCAGCACCACTCCTGGGGGCACTGGAGAGAGAGATGGCCAAGCCTCCCCATCCACTCCAGACCCCACTCACAGAACACTCGTCTGCACGGCTGCCCTCTTTATCCATGTGGTCGGAAAAACAAGTGGCACTTTCCTCACCTTGATAGCAATAAAAAGTGGCATTTCACCCCACTTGACACCCTGAACTCCTGTGCAGAATATAATTGTTCGAATTCCGGGTACTGAGAGGGAGGAACCTGAGTATGGGGCAGAGTGGGAGGTAAGCATTGTTGGGGGTGGAAAGAGGAAGATGGGTTTTTCCTCATCTGTCTTCAACTCGGGACTGGCCCATCAGGACTTGAAATGGCAGAAAGGGGACCTGCATTGGCAGCAGGTTCTTTCCCACTGGTGCCACCTGGGAAGCCTTGGGCAGCCTCATCTGCCCCAGTGCCCTCCTGCTCCACCCTCCCCAGGGCTGTGGGATCCCCTAGAGACCCTGTCCTCTCAGAGCTTTGGGTGTTAGAAGGAAGGCATGCTGAACAAACTAATTTATACTATAGTGACAGTGGCTGATAGATAGCAAACCATCCAAAAGCTATCAGTATTTTCTAAAAGCATGTTTCCTGAGCCTAAGAACTCACTAACTAGAGGGTGTCACAGCTGGGCCAAATCAAAGGCATAGTTCGGTTGTGACTACATGAGGAGCAGTGAGAGGAGAGAGACAGAGAGATGGTAAGAGAGAGACAGAGAGAGCTGCTGAGCTGTGGAAGCCCAGGGCCAAGCAGGAGCGGCTTTCTAGATGGGTGTGGGTGAGGGGAGGTGTCCCCCCCATCTAAGAATCTCGGGCTGCAAAGGAACAGGCCGGTGGAGGAGGCAGGAGGGTCTTCGGGGCCGAGGGAAGAGCATTCACAAAGCCCAGAGGGTATGTTCCGATGGCAAGGGGTACCCAGTGGGGGAGAGAGGAGGTTAGCCCCAAAGAGGTCAGCGTGGAGATGAGGCTGGAGTTGGGGGCTGAGGGGTGGAGGGGCCTGGAGCCTGTCCAGGAGGGTGAGTTCAATCCCGCAAATAGTGGCGAGTCACTGAAGCTGTGAGGGCTTCCCAGGGGGCACTGGTGGTAAAGAACCTGCCTGCCAATGCAGGAGACGTAAGAGACGCAGGTTTGATCCCTAGGTGGGGAGGATCCCCTGGAGGAGGTGCAACCCACTCCAGTATTCTTGCCTGGAGAATCCCATGAACAGAGGAGCCTGGTGGGCTACAGACCCTAGGAGGGCTGCACAGAGTCAGACATGACTGAAGTGACTTAGCACAGCATAGCATGAAGCTGTGGGCAGGGGGAGCCTTTTGGACAGACCAGCCCACAGCTGGGAGCAACGGCCCTGCAGCCGGACAGATTCTAGAGACCACAGCGACTGCCAGGCCCAGAGATGTGGCAGGAACCCAGCCCCAGGGGGAGGAAGGGGGCTGAGTCTTGGAGGGTAAAGGCCACGAGCCCAGGGTGCCGGAGAGGCGAGGCAGCCGAGGCCTCAGTGTTCCTGCCTGTGCGAGGGGTGCCCGGGGGCAAAGCGGCCTCAGCATTGAGGCGGGAGCAGACACGCGCTGTCCTCACAGAGCTAGCCACCAGGGAAACGGACGCGAAATCCTCCAGGCGCTGGACCTGCAGGTGCTGGCCAAAAAGCCAGGGACAGGCCCACGGAGGCACCAAAGCACGCAGCCGTGTCTTTCTGCCGCAGTGTCTCTCTCTGCCTGCCGCGCTTCCCCCTTGCTGTTTGATGCTGTTGCAAAGCAGAGGAGAGTTAGTTTTCAATTATGAACATGCGCCTTACTGCTCATCGCAATCTTACACGGGGCCAGATCTGAATTCAAATATAAGAGCCTGTTACACAAAGACCTGCTGT